AACACTTAGATACACCTAATGCAGCATTTCCAGATTAAATGAAACTAGTAATTTTTGTAGAATAGCTGTTAACGAAAGATCCAAGGAGGTCTCAGTTATAAGATATTCTAGAAAGCTTGATAATGGATGCCGACTTAATGGTTCCTAAAGGACAGAGGGTGCAGCTGTTTACTACATAACAATGTTTGAACACTCAACTTCCACTAAAAAGGAGCCAAAATAATGGAACATTTTCAGCACCACCGTGAATGCAAAACTTTATACATCATCTTTCATCCCTTTCATACACTGAAAATTAGAGGGAATAAAGGCATGTCAAAGTCATATATTCGAATTTTCACCTTTATAAAATGGCATTGCCAAGGTATATTTTATTGCAAAAAATTGTGTAAAATTTACATTGTTTGCTTCTAGTTTTTCGTTGTGCTATAAGACTAAAATGATATATGAAAAGAAAACCTTTAAAACCACAAGACAGTTGGATGCACAAGCAAACTTCACATGGTTTCATTGAATACTAAATAAAGCTTTCAATTGTATGTTTTCAGTTATTATTTAATGTTCAAGATTACTTTATGTAGGATAGAAATAAAATTCGAAATGAGACGAATGCTCAAGACAATATAGTAATTAAAAAGAAATTAGAAACCTAAAGATTATTGTAAATCACATATTTAGCCCAGAGAGTTGATCTATGTCTGTTCGATGCAATCCTTGGATGACTTCAACCTCTTAATCTAAACAAGGAACTAGTAAACGTTATGCATGTGTCTGTTAAACGTTGCTTTTGTTCAATTGACATTTTATGGGTAAAAATATTTACTTCTCAAAACAATTCTGTTCTCATACATGTTAATTGTTATTGAGCATATGAAAAGAAATTTCTTTCTGTTGACAAATCTTGCCCAGCTTTGATTAATTCTCACAAGTCACTCACTCATGCACGCACATGGACATTCATGGACACAGACCTAAGAAACATTTAGCTAAGCATTCGGTCAATGGACCATCAAAGACATCTATGGTTTCCATGCAAAAGTTTCCACAGTTCCTTTCCCATTAAAAGACATGATCTTTTTTTGCTGTCTATTTTGCATCTTTATATATGGGCTTCACAACATGAGGCCATGTTACTCAAGTTTATTCGAAAATCTTTATCAACACAATTGCTTTCATCTTCCCAATAATTAGAGTAAAAGAGAAAGTTAGAACTTAACTCTCTTTTTTTATCATTCCACTTCTATTGTTTGTAGATAGAGTATTAGAATGGAAAGATCCATTAGATAATGAACTATTGGTTTTATTAATTAACAATTAAAAATGTTTTTCTTGATAATGAGCACTTATATATAGATGTAGGAGGATTTGTTTGGGAAGATAGATGCACCTTTGACATTTCTTCTTTTGCAAATAATTCTTAGTCAAATCATAAACCTACATCTGTTCCACTCATGGTTTTGGTTGGTAAAAAAACAACAGGTTCAAGACGAAGGTATATCCTGGGAGAAGGTGGGAAAGCACATGGCCAGTTCTTATAAAAAGATAGCTTCACTCCAAGAGAGGAAAATCAGCAAAAGTGGAATTCAATTTCACGAGACTTATGAATGAGAGTTGCTTCAAACAGAAACCCCAATAAACGGTGCTGGTAACCCTATTTGCCCTAAGGTATCAAAATTCCTTGTCGCATAAGTAGAGACCTGCACAAATGGTGTAGTAAGTGCGCTTTCTATCTCCGACATGGCAACCCAATTTTTGTTTTTTACCATTTTTGGAAGCAAAATACCTAACCTAACTAATAAGAATTTCCCTCTTGACGAAGAAATCTACATCTTTTATACCATGCACATTACTTAGACCGGTTCTAGAATGTCATTTTGGACGAATTAAGAATCAAATATGAAAAGAGAATATACATGACAAGTAACCTGATGTTCTTTGTTTTTATGGTATGTGAACTGAATCTTGATTCTTTAAATTTCGATTTTTTGTTGTCTCTCAAGTATTAACATTGTTTTCAAACAAAAGAAAAAATAGAGAATAGACTTTAATTTGATCAGATTCTTTTTGACACTTTTCTTTTTCATTTCCCTTTTATTGGGTTTTTAGATTCTAACTATGCGTAGCAACTAATCCAATTTGTTAATTCAACATGAAGTACCACCAGTATGGTAGAATGCGATTCTGAGTGATAGACACATAGGATAGAAGGTATATGATGGAACCATGATATAATAAATAATATGTCGAAAGGATTTTGGGGAAGTATAACATAACAGTGAGTAAAACTGGAAAAATCTAATACTACCACCGAAACAGAACATTATCAGATATTATACAAATTTTAAGTACATAGCCAACCGTCCCTTACACAAAACCGCATTTAATTCTTATTGAGCGCCAAACATATCTAGGAATGTCACCACTCTAGTGGACAGTGCTCTCGCAATTTTTATCATGGTTGCGGAGTCTCTTTTGGGGTAACCAACAAAAGTTAAGATGCAAATCACCATCGAAAGGACATTGTTGATCTTTTTTTCAATTTTGGGTGGAAGGGGGAATAGGATTCGCTCAAGTGATCAAAGATACAAATCACCATCAAACTAGGGAAAAAATAGGTGAGAATTTGAAGGATATTGTTGCACAAGAGCATACACTATGTCCTAAAAATTTGGTAAATAATTACCACATCGAAGGCTGTGATTACTATTTTAGTACTCTATTTCTCTCTTTCTAACAAACTCTGTGCGTGTCTAGAAAAGACTAATGGATAAGTAAAAAAAAACTTCAGTTTTCACATAATGGAGAAATAAAGATTACCTCATAACCGGTAGTTGCTTTGTCTTCGAGCTTGAAGTTATCATTTGCTATCCATGACATAATGCCTTGCCCTCTGGAAGAAAGCAATGGACCCAACCCCTGAGTGAAGTCTAAGAAAGACTGAAGTCAATTCCCACTCATATTATCCAAAAACTATGATGCACAAAAATTTAAATAACAATTTGATCGATTAGGTCATCACATGATTTGCATCGTTGACTCGAATTTTTCCACACACATGCCAAGATCACACAATATAACTAATGTTTCAGACGCAAGATATAGGACATACTATGCATGTCTAGTTCATCAACAATTATGATAGAGAAGTTAAGTTATCAAACGCACTCTCCCTCAGCTCCGACAAAAAGTTAGAAGAAAGAAAATCTCCTCAAAAAAATTCTATAAGCCAAAGTTGAGAGAGAGAGAGAGAGAGTTACTGAAGACACTATTAATGGATAGACAAATAAAAGACAACATTGAGATAAAATCCAAACCTTTTACATCCATTTACTATTTTTATAGAAGAAAAGAAAGTCGGAAGGATGTACATCTTACTTTTGACTGTGATTCAAAGACACGTATTCCCAAAACTGCACTGTAGTTGTTACCAAAAGGGTGGGTAAAATGTTAATTAGGGAAAGAACAAGTTCTTGAACCTAAGCATACTTCTCTGATGAACTTCTATAGGTTCTTCTCTGGTGAACTTCATTGCCTAATTTTAACCAAGGCAGGATCTTGGATTAGAACGATATTATTTATAGGGCAAGCTTCACAAAAAAAAATATCAACTGCCCAAGCCAGTCATTAGAAGATTGTAGGCGCATGTGTCAATTAAACAGATCAAAACAAACAATTCTGTTTTTTATTTTGGGGTAAGGATATACCATCAAGAACATCACTGAGTGAAGAAAAGATATCGGAAGAAAAATTTCCTTGAGACTCAGCCTTGGCCTCTTGAATTAGGTAAGCATAATCAGCGCCTTTACTCTTTCGCACAACATCAGTTGCTTGGCTACTATTCTCTTGGATCGTGTCCTCTGAATCCAAAACAAACTCTTCTTCATACCGATCCCAATTTGACGGGAGTTTCCTTAAACTCTGAGATTGTTGGGGTTTGTCTGCAACTTGCTTGCCAGGCTGCTTCTTTCCACCACTAGCTGTACCTGAGCTAACTGAAGGTACTTTTGATGTCTGATGAGGATTATGCTTCTTGCTGTGATGTAATGAATGAGCTCTCTTTGATTTCGCCAATGATTTTGAATCCATTATTCTATAAAATGGCCTCAAAATGAAGGAAACTTCCGCTAATATTCAACTAATCAAAACAAAATAATTAAATCATTCACAAAAATCACATTGAGTGTGATTTCAACATATAAATTCCGTTTTTACACTACTGATAATCAGATACTACCTTCCAACTTTGTTGATGAAGAAGTTGAGTAGAAATCCCTGCGACACAAGATAAATTGGTGCCAAGGTGGTGATGAATATGTCGCCTTTTTACCTCTTCCCCAGTATTTTTAGCGTAATTCCGATGTAGAAAACCTGACCCCGCTTTTCGCCCTTCGCACTATGAACACTCAAACAGGCATAGGTTTCAAGGCATAGGTTATTCTTTGGACGTGCAAACTAATTGGGTTTTACATTATTTTCTTGGAAGTTATTATTTATGGGAAAATGTAAATATGGCATATTTCAAAATTAAGTTGAGAAAACAAGTTTCAAATTTTAAAAATCAGATTTTTATTAAATTTATTTATGATTTAATTAATTAATTATTTATTTTTTGGTAATAAATCAGAAATTTTATATCATAAATTATTTTACTATCATAATTCAAAAATTTTGTAAGTCACAAAACAAAAAAATTTGAAACTCACAAATTAATTTTTAGTCACAATTTATCAAATTATTGGTCATAACCTATTTTTCGGTCACAAATCAAAAATTTTATAAATCACATTATTTTTTGGTCATGAATAAAAAAATTATAGGTCACAGATCACAAATATTATAGATCATAACTTATTAGACAGTAAAAATTTATTAATTTTTTAGGTTACACATTATTTTTTTGTCACAATTTATCTTTTTCATTTGTCATATATTGTTTATTGATCACAGATTAACCAATATACTGGTCACAATCAACCAAATAATCTGTGACCATTACCAACACTTATGACTACCAATTCAACACTGCCTCTAATAACACCACCACCACCAGCACTGTCAAAATCACTACCATATTGATCACAAATTAATCAATTTATTGGTCACAACTTTCAGTCAACCAATAAAATCGTCACATACACCCACACCCCATCCCACCACTCCAAAGCACCGCACCATCGCCAACCACCAACGACATCGCCCACTACCACCACCATCACTACAACACTAATAGCACCTACGCGCCATCTCACCACTCCAAAGCTCTGCACACCACCACCAACACCAAATCATGTCACTAATGTCATTCCCACACGCAAACCACCCGCCACAAGAATCAACACTAAGCAGATCGAATAAAAACAAAAAATTGCAGATTTGGGCACCCATCACCGCAAGATCTACCAACAAATCAGAAAAAACCGCAAGATCTACCAACAAAATTACGAACACCCCACAACCGCCATCGCCTCACTACCGTCATCGCTACTTCCAACAACAAACAAAATTGTTGCCACCCATCACCAACTCCACCATTTTTAACCACCACCACACCCAAACACACCTTCACGGAATAGGCAAGAATAAAGCATCCGGCCAAAAACACCAAATAAAATCATCGCCACGAACAACAAACCAAATCGGATCTGAGCATCGTTGCCAAGCGCTGCTCACAACGTTGCTATGCTCTCCTCAACGAGCGATGTTTCACAACGACGAGCGTCACTCTCTTCGACAAAGCGCCTTTATGCGCAACTTCATTGGAGATAATAGCGTCGCTTGGTGGTGGCTTTCGACTGCTGGGTAGGCGTAGGGTTTTTATTTTTTTGGTAATTAGTTTATTTAAATAATTAATAAAAAATCTGATTTTTGAAATATCAAACTTCCAATCTGATTTAGGAATTTTGAATAATTAAAGTATGGGTTTGTGTAATTTTCACTTATTTGTATTCATCATTGTTATATATCTATTATTCCTATTAAAATTTTCTAGAAAATAATATTTTTTTATCCAAATCACATTCTAATATTATTCTTATAAAATGTATTCATTTAACACTATACATCCACACCATTTTTATATTTTATATATCTATCACACTCTAAATCTATCCTTATTACAATTTCGAAATGATACTATATTCATCTCCATTACATATAATATCAACCTTCTCACAATTCGATAATTAATTCTATACACCAAAAATTATAAGATCGGATTAATGAAATGCACAACTTTGTTACTTCATCTAGTAAGTTACAATATTGAACTTGTTTAATTTTTTTTCTCACTTCTATATAAGAATTGACATATAGGAATTGAATTGAAACACGAGGAAGAATAAAAATTGATCATGAATCCATTGATTACACACAAAATACTGGACTAAGATCAAAGAAATTCTTAGATAAATTCTAAACCATCGATTTTATTTATAAAAAAATATATGAAAAAAAATCTCCTTACATTGTGTATTGAATTGGATTCTATAGGAATAAGGGTTTGTAAGATAATGATTTTGAGAATTGAATTTTTGACCATTAGAGAGAAAAGTGAGTCCCAAATGTAAGTGAAGAAGTGAAAAATGACAGTTGACGTAGGGAAATAATGGTCAAAAAATTATTTTTTGAGGTGAAAATCAGAACTAAACCGGGACTAAATGTTTACCTACAAGGATTAGTGTTCATTCCGAAGTAATTAGCCAACAAATGAAGCAAAATGGAAAAATTAAACAAGACGAGGATAATTAAAGGGATCACCATTGTGGCTCCATCTATCATCTACCACGATAATGTTGGTGCAACACATTTATGTTCCAATCCTATTTTTTGTTCGCGTAGCCCTTGATTATCAATACATTTGTGATAAGTCCAAAATGATGCACTATGAATTACTCATGTCTCATCTATTGATTAGCTAGCGAATGTCCTGACAAAGTGTGTTCTATGTGCACGTCATCTTCTATGTAATAAGATTGGAATCTCCTCTCAGAGCTCTATCTTGTTGGGGCAATATGGAAGGAAATACTTGACTATAGCTTTTTTCCTTAAACTTACTTCTCTAATTGATTCCTGTAATCATAAAATTTATTTGAATTACTATATTTAGTAGTGTAGATCCCTTTAGTTTAGGTAATTTCCTAACATTCTATTATGCTTCTCTCTCTCTCTCTCTCTCTCTCTCTCTCTCTCTCTCTCTCTCTATATATATATATATATA